TAAAGCAAATAATTATCTCTTCTAGTTATGACCTTTGTACTTGGTTGCTGTTTGACATAGGTTGCTATGCCTTTAAAAATTTTGCATGTTCAGGATATGAAACAAAATAGTTTTTTAGGTTTTATATACACATTTGAATAACTAAAAAATCATAAATTACTACATCAATACCATAGAATTCCACTATAATTTATAAAACTTAGTAACTAAGATGTATTTTAGTCTAAAAAATATGAAATTTTGAGTAGACTAAAGACACACCCTACCTCCTTGAAATAATAGTTCAAAAGGAAGAAATGGCATCCAAACCCACTAAAATGGCTGAGAAAGCCACTAGGGGGACATTTTGAGCTTTCAATTGATTATTCATGTCATATACAGAAGTAAGTGTATATAAGGGAGCATTTCCAAAAATGGAAAGAGGTGAGCAGGGTGCTACTGTGTTTGATTTATTACATGAGCAATATTGTAGCAAATAGAAAAGATAAGACCTTATTTTATATTCTAGCTTGTCAATATCAGTAATTTGAGTTTCTAATTTGTACAAAACTATATACTTAGTATTTTGACTTCACAAACATCTAATTTGAACCAGTGCTGCATTCAACTTACCACGTGACACACAAAAATCAATGTTTATCTGTGTTTTTTAATATTTACTTTTTAATTAAGAAATTGAGTAATGCATAGTACTAAAATTTGAATTATAATCTACAGTTTGATACCAAACTTATTGATATAAATTCATGAAATAGCAGTTCAATAAAATTTTGAATGGGAGTCAACAAATGAGATGACACGGCCTTTCACCTGCGACCCGTCTCGAAAGGGTTAACTGATTGAACTGATTAGCAAAATGCCTCCTCCTCATTCTCTGTCTCATTGGTAAGCCAAAAATCAGATTTTGATACCCTCAGCACAGCACAGATACCCCATTGCATGGATTTCTGCTTTATAACAAACAAAAGATCAAAGAAACAGCTGCAAATCTAACCTGAACTTATTTTACAAAAAGTATCAGAATCAGGTGCAGATAGGTGCTAGATGTATTACTACATGGCAACCATGTTTGTAATGTATTAGTTTCCATTTCTCGTTAAGAGAATGTCAAAATTAAATCAACGATCAAACTTTTAAAAACGTTTGCAGTTAAAATCCTGTTGTAGGAAAAATTAAATTATTGAAATAAACTCAAAGTTAGAAAATGAAAATCGGGGGACAAACTAGGATCAGAAGACCACATCAGATACTGAAAATCAAAGAAAAAGTAGGATGAGGCTGAACTAGATATTGAAAATTATGGAACATGTAAGATTAATTAGGTTAGATATTATGAAAGAATAAAATAAAATCAGGTTAAATAATGGGGGAAAAAAAGCTCATCACAAAGTGAGATTAATAAGGGCATGTTAGATAGTGAGTATTATGAACCAAATGAGATCAAAAAGATATTTTAAGTTTCACAAATTAAATAAAAAAGTAAGATCAGGAGGTCATGTTACATATTGAAAATCAAAGAAAAAGTAAGAACAGGAGGTCCAATGGGAAAACAAGAATAAGAATTAGATGTTAAATCAAGACACAAGATCAGAAGGTCAGGTTATATACTGGAAATCCAGGACCAAATAAATAATTGGTAAGGATGAGTAGAGAAATAATTTTGAAGAGAGTTGCCAGTGGAGTTCTTGGAAGCTGAAAAACTCGCACAGCAGAATTCTTCAAACAACAAGCTTTAAAATCATAAGCCAAACTAATTAAAATCACAACACCCTTATCTGTGAAATGGAGATTATGGTTACAAAAGAGAACCTTCTGTTTACAAGATAATAAATAAGGATTTGAAGAAGACGGATAGACCAGACAAAATAATGGCTGGAGACGGCTTGAATGGGTAATGAAGAAAAACTTTAATATAAGTTTAACATAACAGCAAATGTACA